CGTCAGGTATAGTAGGTACTCAGCCAATTGGGACATTTTTTATCGAAAAAAATTTAACGTCAGATAGTTGGTGTAAATGTTCGGCGTTATTTAGATGAGATATTTCCCGGACGATAAATTGGTAGACAAGGTAAAATTGAATGGCCTTCACGTTCACCCGATTTCAATCATAAGGATTATTTTTATTAGGATACTTGAAAAATTCAGTTCACAAAACGAAACCAGCAAGTCTTGCAGAGCCAAGGCAACGAATTATCGATGAATCTCGAATTTTTTCTAAACCATCATGGAGAAATGTGATAGACGCATTCTACCATCGATTAGGGTAGTGTCAACTCATAAATTGAGCACATTTTGAACACTTAATAACGTAACTATTGTTAAAAAATGTTCTAATCTATCAATTGTTAAGTTTTAATGTAGTTGAAAATAATTAGTATTAAAAAATTTATTGACACAATTAGGCGTTGCCAGACATTCCAATAATGACTAAATATACAGGGTGATGCATTTAAAAAACCAAAGTTACTAATAATATAAGAGAAACGGAAAATCTGGCAACATTGCAAATATCAAATATGGAATCTCCGTATCCCAAAATAGGTGTACCTCAAATTTTGTACAATTATAACTAGCAATTTACGAGATAATTGGCCGTTTCCAGACTTTTGGGCCACTCTGTATATGCAACTAGTCAGAGAAAAACAGTTTTTGGCTATCGAACATCGTTTTCTTGTAAGTGGGCATACGCGATATATCATCCCAATCAATGGTGCGACGTTATAAGAAAAGCCAAAAAAACCAATTCATTTGAAGTTATTAAGATGCGACAAAAAGGTTTTATTTTCTTTGACGAGCTGCAAAGGTAAACTAACAAAAAACAGACGACATACGAAAAAGAACCTTTAGGTTTTAGTCAAGTTAGATGTTTTAAATTTAAGGCGGATAAACCCAACACAATGCTTGTGAAACTCTTTTTAAATGAAGAGTTTAAATCGGTCAATATTAGTAAGCGAGTAGAAGATGGAAATCAAATAAAAATCTAAGAGATCTTCCTCCAAAATATACCACATAATTATATGTACCTCTTATAGTCGGACAGATTTCAATCAAAGGTGATTAATCTACAAATTGAACTAAACGGTAGCGGCAACCGTGTAAAATGTCAGTAGTAAATTCTTACAGGGGTCATTTTTATTGCGTATACTTCGCCCATGTAAATAAGCGAAAAAGTAATATAGTCCTCATAACATTTTCCCCCGTAACAATATAAATTGGTGCGGTTCACGAGTGTGTAGTGAGACAAGTTTATTGAATAGTTTAAAACATCCGCAAACATATCAATACTTTGCTGGTCTATATATATTTACGTTCTTAGAAAGAATGTTAATGAGTGAAATATGATATTTTAGTTTATGTTTATTCGTTCCAAATTCTAATGTGCATAGGCGTAGCGTTTTCTATCTCGTGGGAATATATTTATTAAATAGACTTTATTATTAACTTTAAAATAGTTTTGAGGTAAGTAAAGTAAATTTGCGGCAAATTTATTCTTTATATAGTATTAACCCGTTAACGGCCGGTCAGTATACAAAGAGAAATTTGTCAATTAATTTATTAGATTGGAATAAAAACACATATATAAAAAAAGGATTGGAATTTACAACAAAAAAGATTTTTTTTCTCATTTTCAAGAAAAACTGTACAATTTTTAATACAGGAACATATTTCATCTTAAATGTAAATTAAATTGTAAGGTGAAAATTTTCGAAACATTCGGGGTGTAGATGCATTCTACACCTTTTAGATAAATAAATAGTAGTACTTTTGCATATCCTACATTCTTGCACTATCGTCTCTTTTTGTAATGTGGCCAATTGTCAAATCTGGTAAAGCAAATTTAGATTGAGGTACATGTACGAAGCTTGACATTGATGTAGCGATTCTTCACTATTATAAATTATAAATATAAATCTATGTCGGCTCATGCTTTCTCTTATAATGTGCACTTCTTTATCTTCATCTTTTGACCAATGTATATCAACTTGAAGCAGAGTGTGAACCAGATAATATACGAATCTATGTTATTTATTTCAAAATCGTGACGGTTGTTCAAAAGTATAGAATGCTCTCAATCTTCTTTATCAAATGCTTCTATGTACAGGATAGAAATGCTATCTAAATATAGAATGCTTCTTTATTAAAAAAGAGTGAAAAAACTTCAATATATGACTTGACTCCATTGTTGGCTTTTATATTGTCTAAATATCAATCAGACTGATGTTGAATTACTACTGAGCACAAAGCAGCACGAAGAAGTATCTGTTGTTACAGATACTTAAGAACAAATTTGGATCTACTATTTTTGACTGGTTTTTTCTTTGGACGTTTTATCTGTGGTTCAGAGGAATATGATAATCAGAATTACCAATCACTTGTATTTCATATGTACTTGCAATATCCGATTTTATTGATTCTTCACAAATAATATTATCATCAATGTCTTTTACATAAGACACATTCTTATCTAATCTCGGCGGCAAATAAAACACTTTAAGTGAGTCAGCATTTTCACAATCTGAGTATTCTTCTAACAAAGCTATTAACTCTTTAGTAGTTAGTGCCATCTTTATTTCATATTTCGAGCAGTCGCCACATTGGGCATATTGGGCAGTCGCCACATTGAAGTTTGTACAACAAGAAGTTTGAAATTTGAACATTGAAGTTTGAATAACAAGAGCCAAAATAAAAAAAAAACACTTAAATAGTGCTGTGTACAAACTTCAATGTGGCGACTGCCCAAAAACTTACATCGGGCAAACTGGTAGAAACTTTAATAAACGAATAGCAGAACATAAAAGGGCTTTCAATAGAAAAACAGATTCGACATACGCACTTCACTTTCTAGATCATAATCATTCTTTTAATGACAAATTTAAAATTCTTCACATTCAAAATAAAGGCCTTAAGCTATCTTTGTTAGAATCTATGGAAATCAACAAATTAAAAAATACAGATATAATTCTGAATGACCAACTTGAGACAAACAGTTCTCCCCTCCTCAACCTATTTCATTAGAGACTATAAATTTGTAAACGCATGCCAAAAATAGATCACTTGAGAAAGGCAATCAGCCGAAACAGCTGTAGTGATAAGATTTAAAATAAATTTTGTGGAAGTTTGAAAACAAAGTTTTCAGTGTTTTATTGTTACGAAAAAATAAGTATTTTCCAAAGTTTTCTGTTTTTTGAAGTTCTGTATTAGGTACTCTCTAATAAGATTAAAATTTTACTTTAATTTGTTAGACAACTATAAGATACCTGTCAAAAGACACATGATAATTTAATGATTATATCGGTCTTAAATTTAATTTTTATGTAATTACTTATGTATTTAAATAAATAGTTAAATCAATTCAATTTGGGTTAAAACAAAACAAATACAACGTTCATAGCAGACAGCAATTCTATAAATAGAGAATGAAGTGCAACGACGAGATCGTATGTTAAAATTTCAGATTGTTTAGTCTACTGAAAAAATAAGTATTTTGCAAAGATTTCTGTTTTTTGAAGTACTGTATTAGGTACTCTATAAAAACAATAAAATTTTCCTTTATTTTGTTAAACAACTATTCACTCCGTGCTTGACTGACCTATTGCCTTCATCTGAGAGTTTTGGACCTCCCAATTTGAGGTTAAAAATATGTTAAATATATAAGAAATTGACAATTATGAATAATTAGTTTTTTAATTATATTTTTTAGTTTATGTACAAAATAAATGTAGTATTTAAAACTGGGTTTCTAAAAATTCATCATAATTTATCTTTGCAACCCCAAACGGAAAAGAAAGGGAAAAATCTAGTACTGACAAATCAAGATTTTCATGTGGAAGAGCATATAGTTAAAAACAATAGTAGTAAAAGTTATGATATAAAAGCTAAAGTCATCAGGCAGGCTGCTGTTAGCTTGAAACCTTATGAAATATCATTTAAGGTTATTTATTTAAATTTTTCCTACTTTAATTGCATAAAAATGAAATTATGTGATATTTACTTTTTCATATTAATAGCACGAAATCATCTTTTTCTTTTCTCGAATTTATATGTAATCTTTAGAAACCTATAAAAACTAGACTCACTATTTTTGCTATTATTTGCACAATTAAATACGCAACATGTATTTGCACCCATTTTTGATAAAATTTATGCGTAAAAGATAGGTCCAATTTTGTCATATTTCGCCGCTACGCACGCTGGCATTGTTTCAAGTTACCCCTACCATGGTTACGCACGGAGCGAATAAGATACCTGTTAAAAGACACATGATAATTTAATAACTACATCGGTCTTAGATTGAATTAATTACTTATGTGTTTAAATAAATAATTAATTTTTTTTGGTACGCCTCTGCAAAATTGATAAGTGAAATATGATTTCGTTGAAATGTTATCGTTAAGGGCTTAGTTAAGTGCGATGTTGCAAAGTAATCACCTTCAATTAAAAAATGTTTTAGTATAACAAAAAAAATCTAAAAAATTTAAGGGAACTCATGCCTTATATTCCTTTAGTTTATCACGACTTTTACGTTGAGCTGGACGTTCGACAACAGTCAACAGACCTCGCAGAAGATCCGGAAACGGAGAATTTTGACTTGGACGAGTAAAATAGAAACATCGTCTTAGATAAGAAAATCTTACAACAATGTTTTTGTATAAAACGAGTAAGCCCCGTTGCTCAAGAAAAATATTTTTTCTCTTTTAGTTAAGAGTTCCGTTTGTTTTTTTTTTAGTTTGTAAATTGCTTATGTTCAGAATAAAGCTTCATTTAAAAAATATTGCTGTGTTATAATAAAAACTCTGGTTTAAGGATTTGATTGAAAGTTTCAAACTAGATTTTCTCCATTTTCTACTTTTGTGGCTTGTTACCTTTTCCCCCCCAGCCCTTCAATTCATTGACGATATTTCGATCAGCAAATAAAATACTCAATATATTTTTTGACAGTTTTATTTTAGCTCTAAATTTCAATATGGCACTTTCATGCATCCTCATATTAAATACTATTGTTACAATTCATATTCATCTCTCAAACACAACAGAAATAATTAAACACATCTGACATTACAACAATATAAAATTACAAACATTAACAAAGTATTTAATATAAGTCTATGAATTTCTTATCAAAAATATGTCAATAACAAAATTACAAACAGCAATACAAAAAGATTTGTCACGATTGATGACAGCCAGGGAAATTCTTGACTGATATACAGGAAACTGGTTTTTTGGATCTCCTCCGCCTATTTGCGCCTCGGCTCGAGTGGGCGTTTCCGTTTGAGTATTCACCTTCTGCTTTTGTTTTTTCCATTTCTAAAACAACAATAATCATCATAAATATTAAGCAAAACATCGAATCATAGTCAAACATTAAAAAAACTGGTATACAAAAACAGGCTAACTTATAGCCTAGTCAAATAAAATTGTAATATAGAACATCCCAGAGGTACATTCAGTGCGTCACAGTTTTTCGATTTCTTTCTAATGCATTAAGTTGGATGTGACGGAGAAAGCGGTAGTTCCGTGATTAAACAGAACTACATTGCAGCGTTAGAATAAGCTTACATACATAAGCGGTTCTTTCTTAACCTACGTTTGATTCGTTGATATTTAGATGCGCGCTTTCTCTAGCCAATCAAATACGCCTATTACTGATAGTTGACGTAAAACTTCGTCCATGCTGGCCATTCTTTCGAAGTGTTCCAACAGCAAGTGACGGATGTCGTTCAGATCAGTATTTGCAAAGAATATAGACGCTATATAATATATTTATATTCTTTGGTATTTGTTTTGTATAATTTTATTTTGTATTTTGTTTTACATAGTATTGTGATTGTGGTTTTATTTGTATTTGTACAAGATGGCAAGATATACGGAAAAAGGACAAGTTCTAATATTAAAATTGCATTAATATTTTCAATTGGAAAATATAAATATTTCACCATGGAGTTGTCTAAGAAAATATCTTTATAGATACATCCCCACTGGCAGTATTTTTCTATAATTTTATCTGCTAAAAGTCTAATTTTGTACATACAAACTGTAGAATCGTCTATTTTGACATTATCCGCTAGATGAACAAACTTTGTTATTTATAAATACTTGTCTCTGCTCAAAGCGTTGTAAACACAGGAAACTCCTAGGTCCTTATCCAATGACCTGATCTAATTTCATTTCTAGGTGGGTCAGGCAACTAGTTTAAAATATCAATTACTATTCTAGCTACAGGTGGTATTTTTTAATAGTACCATTTGTTTTTTTCGGCAACAAACGTGAAAACCATAATCATATCCAGTGGAACCGGTTATCATCCCATTCTTATATTCACATTGGACTGGCTTCGCTCTAATTGACTGTTTAGCTAGGTTATGACCAACATTTTTGACTATGGATTTGTCTAAGGAAATATCTTCATGTAAACATCCTCACTGGCAGAATTTTTCTATAATTTTATCTGCTAAAAGTCTAATTTTGTACATACAAACTGTAGAATCGCCTATTTTGACATTATGCGCTAGATGAACAAACTTTGTTATTTATAAATACTTGTTTCTGCTCAAAACGTTGTAAACACAGGAAACTCCTAGGTCCTCATTCAATGACCTAATCTAATTTCATTTCTAGATGGTTCAGGCCTATATTTCAAAAGATCAATTACTACTTTGGCTCCAAGTGGTATTTTTTTATTATCTTCAATATCATTCGTTTTTTTTTTCGCAACAAACGTGAAAACCATAGTCATATCCAGTGGAACCAGTTATCATCCAATTCTTATATCCAAATCTGACGGGCTCCTCTCTAATTAATGTTTTGCTAGGTTATGACGAAATATTTCACCATGAATTTGTCCAAGGAATATATCTTTAAGTAAACTCTCCACTGACAGGATTTTTCTATAATTTTCTATTACACTGATATTCAAATTTTACTTTTCAGTGTTTTCAATAAACTATTATTACACATTAGTGAATAAATAGTTTTTATGATTAGAATTATATTTTATTTATGTAATTAATTTAGAAGTTACCTAATAAATTTTTGAAAACAGTTTTTTTTGTGTTACTTATACTATGGCCAAAAAGCAGTAGTGAGAATAGAAGAAATAACATCAGAAGAAATAGAAGTAAAAAGAGTTATTCGACAAGGGTGTATATACACACCAGTATTATTTAGTATGTATACTCGGAAGACATATTAAGTAAGGCAATGGATTAAAGAAACGTAGACATTAGAATTAATGACATGATCATAAATAACCTGAGATACGCTGATGATACAGTTCTTTTAGCCGAATCACATGAAGACCTACAGATACTTCTTAATTAGGTGACCGCAGTAAGCGAAGAAGAATATGGACCATCACTCAACAGAGCAAGAAATACGTGATAATAACAAAGACAACTCAGGACATTCGTGAGATATATGTACAGAATCAGCCTATTGAAATAAGTAAGTAAGTAAGAATTAAGTAAGAGAATTCAAACACCTAGATACAACTATTAATGAAAACAATGACAGCTCTCAAGAAATACGAATCAGAATCAAACAGGCCAGAAGCGCATTTACAAGAATACAACGGCTTCTCTGATGTAGAAACTTAAACCTTAAGTTACAAATACGACTGCTGAGGTGCTACGTGCTACCCGTATTATAATACGAGATGGAAGCTGAAGAAAATTCACGTGAGGAGACTGAAGGCATTCGAGATGTGGATGTACCGAAGAGTACTAGAGATCTCATGGGTAGATGGAATAACCAACGTTGAGGTAGTGTGTCGTATGCATAATGAAAGAGAAGTACTAAGAATTAAGAGGAGAAAAGTGGGATATATGGTTCATGTGATGAAAGGAGATAAATATCTAATACTCCAGGTCATTATGCAAGCAAAAATCCGGAGAAAAAGATCCATAGGAAGGAGACTTAACCCATGTAATAACGACTTATTTAGAGCCGCTGTCTCAAAATTAAAAATCGCTGTGATGATTGCCAACTTTCGACGCGCAGACAACCCCTTGAGAAGAAGATACAAAAATTACAATAAATGAATCATTTTGTCGTCAATTTCGAATGTTTCCATATTTATAAATTTAATAAACAATATTTTTTATTTTTATTAATATACGGGATTACCCCCTGTGGCTAAGTACGATCCTGAAATCTGTCAGATTCTTCAATAACTATATGAAATAATGCTCGACACACCTAATTCATTATATGACGTCATAATTAATGACGCACTGAAAAGTACCTCTGGGATGTACTTTACACGACAAGCATTTTAGGCGAAGAGGTAAAAAGTTTACCAAATTTTTGCAGTAGGACGGATCTCAATGAAACTTTTTACATTCGATTGTCATGAGTGTCAAAAATGATGTGGAAATGAAAATTACATTATTAAACAAGGAAAATTATTTTCCAAGTTGAATTTCGAAGTGATGCAAAATGATAAATTTGTAATTTGGAAATAATTGATGGAAATGAGTTCAATATTACAAGTTGGAGTTTTTTAGATTCACTGTGATGCAATGACCTCCGAGGTATCTGGTGCACCTGGACCCCGTCTCCTAGAGTTTTGTGGAAATTCGATACAAAATCAGAGTACACTCGTTACCCGGGGGATTTTGGGACCGCTGATCACGAATATCATGTCGGTAATGATCTCCGATGCCACTGGTATCTAAAACGGCCTCGTCTCCTAAAGGGTTGTGGACATTTGATACAAAATAAGTGCAAACTCGTTACTTGTGGGGTTTTTGGGGCCGCTGAAAAATAATATCATGTTGGTGATGATGTGCGATGAATCAGGTGCCAGGACGGGCTTCGTCTCGTAGAGTTTTGTGGAAATCCGATACAAAATCAGTGCAAATTCGGGGAATTTTGGGGTCGCTGATCACGAATATTATAAGGGTGATGGTCTTCAGATGCACAAACTCCAATGCACCCACTCTCGAGCACTTAATAGTGCCTCGGGCACTATCGCCGACATTCCAGAGACCCTAAAAACCAGCGAATAATGAGTTTGAACTGATTTTGTACGCCTTTCTGGCATTATCTACACTAGATTGTCAGAATACTCCGAAAATGTAATTGGCGATTATCGAAATTGATTCAGACCAAATAGAGCAACTACAGACAACATATTCATAATTAGAACAATACAAGAGAAAGCTTATGAATACGACAGAACTATAAATATGTATATAGACTTAAAACAAGCTTTTGATAGTGTGAAAAGAGACAAAATGCTGGAAGACCTCCGAAATCTAGGTATACCAAAAAATATATCAGCCTTATAAAAATGACGTTGCAGAGTTCAAAAGGCAGTTAGAGTAGATGGAGAACTGTCTCCCCTGTTTGACATCAACATAGGGGTGAGACAGGGAGACGCACTTTTAACCATGCTGTTCAACCTAGTTCTTGAAGCAGCCATCAGAAAAACCAATGTAACCGGTCACATAAATACCAAAACAGTACAAATTACTGCATATGCCGACGACGTCGCCATTATTAGTAGAAGCAAGACACGACTAATGGAAACGTTCAAGGAAATTGATCCTGAAGCACATAAAATAGGGCTCATAATAAACGAAACAAAAACTAAGTACATGACCATCAAAAGAACACGTGAGAATGAAAATAATATAACAATAGACAACTATACTATTGAACGTGCGGATGCCTTCGCATATCTAGGCACAGAAAATAATCAGAAGAATTCCGTAAGTAGCGAAATTAATGCACGTATTTCCAGTGGAAATCGTACATACTGTGCTAATAAAAGATTGATGACATCTAAATTATTAGACAATAGAACCAAAATGACTATCTACAGAACTTTGATTAGACCCGTAGTAGCCTATGGTTGTGAAACCTGGGTAATGATGAAAAAAGAGGAAGCTCAACTCAGGACATTCGAGAGAAAGATACTGAAAAAAGTAAATGGCCCGGTGCAAAAAGAAGACGACACATGGAGAATCGGGAGAAACGACGAGGTTAATGAACTGAATGAAGAGTATGACATTGTAAGATTTGTGAAAAGTCAAAGACTGTCATGGCTGGGAAATGTTCAGCGACAAGAAAACGACAAAGAAGATCTTACAGTGGAAGCCGATAAAAAGGCGGAAAAAAGGAAGGCCCAGGACAAGATGGTTGGATGACGTGGAAAATGACCTGAAAACCATGAGTATAAGACAATGGAGAAGAAGGGCCCAAGAGAGATCTGAAACAGGCAAAGACCCATCCAGGGTTATGATGCCAAAAGAAGAAAAGGATACTGATTTTGTATCGAATTTCCACAAAACTCTAGAAGCCGAGGCCGACCTGGGTACCAGGTACCTCGTACATGATATTAGTGTTCAGCGGCCCCAAAATTTCATGCGAAATGTTTTGTACTGAATTTCCAAAAAAACTACAGGAGGCGAGGCCCAGGTGCACTAGGTGCCTCGGAAAACATCTCCGTTATAATATTATGTTCACTGACCCCCAAAACCTCCGAGTAGTAATATTGAACTCATTTCTGTCAACTATTTCCGATTTACAAATATATCATTTTTCATCACTTCGAAATGCACATTGGAAAATGCATTTTCCTTATTCAATAATACAATTTTTATTTCCACATTATCATTTTTACAACACAAAATTTTCTGGTACTCATAAGAATCGAGTGCAAGAAGTTTCATTGAGATTCATCTTACTGCAAAAATTCGGTAGGTGTATTGCTTCATTGCCTTGCCTATTTTGTTTTAGGTTTCAAATTGAGCTATTTCTTAGGTGATCGGTTTAATTTACCGGGATCATTGTTTAATGTTTGATTAAAACATTAAGACAACCAAAAAATGAATTTTTAGCTTCTTCAACAAGTCCTTCCCATAGAATTTTTTACTTCTTTTTCGTGAAAGTTTTTTTAAAAAAGGCTTCTTTTTAGGCTTTATAAATAAAATTTCATACATAATTTGTATAAAAAATTAAATAATTTTAAAAAACCATTGAAATTAAAATAAACAAAAACGGATAAATAATTTCAGAAAGTCCTCACAAGTTGGCTTTCGAGTAAAATTGAACCGATGTAAAAATCAAAATTTAAAATCTAATACATTTTTTTATTTTGACTAAAATGTTAACTCTAAAGTCTCGTAACTGTTTTTAATCAGAATGTACATCCTCATGCAAAAAAATATTTAGAGGGACAAAAATTCAACGTTCCTTACGGTTATTAACACATTGGCTGCCGCAAGTATTGAATAAGCCACAAAACAGAAATTGTCTCACACTTGTATTAACTTACATATATTAGACTAGTGACTACACTGGATACTAACAATCTAACAACATATTAATTGGTTATTACCATTTAGTTCGTGTTCGGTATAATATTGTTCATCGTTGGCACTCTCATCCGGGTCGTCGTAGTAATGGTTTACCAAATAAGGCAATACTGTCATCTTATGCCAATAGTCGTCCTTGAAAGGAGGTATCGGTACATGCGGACTACAATCTGGTGGACGTCTATTAAACCACCTACAAAAAAAATTATTGTCAATATTATTTATAGTGTGTCAATTTTAAAACCTAGAATGGGCTATATCTCACGAACAAAAGCTAATATCGAAAAATGCTTGAAACCGTTTCTAGGATAGTAAGGGGGAACGAAAATGAGATGAAAGAGAACTCACCCCATCAACCCTCTAGGCCCCACCCACCAAAACCAAAAAGTTTGATATATCATTAAAAAGACTAAAAAATGCTATCCAATGGTATAAATAATAATTATAGAGGGTGAATCAATAATTGTGAAACTCTGGAAAATTTAATAAGGTTTTTGTTGAACTACAAATTTGTTAAAAATGTCAATAAAGTAAATGTTCAAAGTGAAAAAAGAAAAAAAAATTCGTGTTCATAAACCACGTAAAATTGCTATCTTTTCAAAAGAATCAATGAGTAGGGCGGTAAATTTAGTTATAAATGAGAACATACCTTTGCGAAGAGCCTCTGAATTATGTGCTGTAAAATTTCAAACGTTGCAAAGATAAATCATGAATGTGTTGTCTGTGTGAGTCCATTTCAAATAGGTAAAAAGAAATAAAATAAGACTTACTCATAATCAATTTAATTTTACTACCAAGACGACCGGTTTCATTTTTTACAATTTGCAAAGCATCTTCAGGTCACAGGTACTTCAGGTACAAAGTAAATTAAATGATGCCGGTACAAGAATTAATAATTAATGTTTCGGTACATGGTTCAATAATTGCTGATGATGGAAGATCTTTGGGTTTACTATTGTAACTGTTTGATAATTAACGGGGAAGTTTTTTGAGACGATAGATGTTAACAAATGAAGTAGGAATAAGGTATAATGTGATTGTTTGTTAAATGAAAGTGATGTTCTATATTATTTAATTCATTAAAAGTTATTTATATTTATTCAAGAGATATATTTTAGAAATGTGTGTTAATTTATTGAATTTTTTTTTATTAAAGTGATAGTTGTATGACAATGAATGAAATTAGGTGTACAATTATGTGAATGAGCAGTTCCTTTAACTTGTAATTATCAAATTTCTTTGGTAAAGTTGAATTTGATTACTGTTTTTTGACGTTTTGAGTTTTGAAAACTAAAACAATTAAGGACACTTAAGTACAAACAGAACACAATTAAAAGGACAAAACTAAATTTTAAAATGGGGGGGGGGACTTATTGGCAATACATCATTTAGTTGGAGAGGAACTGGAAAAACTATTTTTCCACTGTAGCAACAACTACGAGGTGCGTAGGGACCCAGGTAGAAGTAAATTTGGAAGAGAATCCAGATTTACAAAGAAAAAGAATTGAGGAGCTATATAAGAAAATTGATACGGCAGAAAGCACCGAGGAAATAAGTGAAGTACTAGATCAAGAATAGTCAGAGGAGGTTTATGAGAAAGTAACCGTCTGTGAAAAAGGAATTTTGGAGGCACCGGACGATGTGGCAATCTTGGTAACAGAGGATGCTGCTGACGCAAGAGTGAAGGGAGATTTTAATGCAAGGTACCCAGACCTCCCTCGATTATATGTGGGAAGAAGATGAAAATTCCCCCGCAGGAATTGGGACTATGTCTCAAATAACATGTATAGTAGAGGAAAATGGGAGAGAGAGAACATCAAAATTTTTTTTCCACAAGCTGAAACAAAGGAGAGGAGAAGAACCAATGGCTGTTAAATTATTGGCAGCAGTCAGGAAGGTATTCGACCGCATGGAAAGAATGGATAGAGAAAAGATAGGGATAGCAGCACCAGCAGCACTAGGAGTGGAAAAATCAAGAAAAGTGCTAGAGTGGGCAGCAAGAGGAAAGAAGGTAAAGGCAACGATATACGGCAAAACGTTTAAGGAAAGGCAAATAGTAGCCACAGAAAAGAAAGGGATGGTAATCATCACAAAACCGAAGGACAAGCGCTATGCTAAAATTGTAAAAGAGTTAAGGGAAGAGCTAAGAGAAAGAGAGGATGCCGTCATAAACAAGGTTAGACAAACCAGACAAGAAGATGTGGTCCTGGAATTAGATGGAAGCAGGAAAATGGCGGAACAAGTCAGGAATTTAGTAACATCAAGACAAGGATGCGCAACAAGAGTAGTGGCAAAAGATGGAAGAGTAAAGAAGGGTTTGACGCTGGCGGACATGGATGGCCTAACCACAGAAAAAGAGATCGTCGAATCGGTGGAGAAATTTGCTGCTAGGAAGGAAGCATGTGAAGTAGTTGGAAAATGAGATGGTAAAGGTGAAACCATGCTGTAGATGCCAAGCACATGGCCACATAGCAAGAGACTATGAGGGAGAAGCAAAAGGGGGGTGCTGGAAGTGTGGGATGGAGGGCCATGTGCAATCTCAGTTTCAAAGTAACACTGTAAAGTGTTTTAATTGTGACGAGGAAGGTCATATATGTACGTTCACTTGGTGCCCCAAATTCAGGGGAATTATCAGAAGAGCAAGAGGTGAAGGTGGAAGAAGGGTAGAGGGTTACTGACTAAGCGACAAAATGGGGAGTAAGCGCGAAAGGGAATGTGTGTTAAGAGTGCTGCAAACAAATGTTGGGACGGCTAGGCTAGCTCACGACCTCGCTGTGGTCTTCGCAATCGAAAAAGAAATTGATATTTCACACGCTGTGGAACTTGGCATGTGACAGGGAGGACCTTATCTTTGGTGCACAGCGTACATGCAACCAAGTTGAGGAATGGATGAAAATGCATGAGTTATAACTGGCTGCGGGAAGACCAAGGCTATAATTCTCAAGGGACCAAGGAAAAGGGACGGGATCACATTTGAATGTGCAGGAAAGAGAGTGGTTCCAAAGAAATGCGTGAGATATTTAGGGGTGACTCTGAGTCAAAACGGAAAGTGGGGGGAGCACGTAAAAGCGGTGACTCAAAGAGCTGCGGTGAGATCCGCCGCATTGGGAGGGATCATGCCCAACATCGGAGGGCCCAAAACTGAGAGGAGGGCCCTTCATTCTGTTGTGCAATCGATCGTCCTCTACGCTGCGCCTGTCTGGAGTTCTGCAGTTTTAACAAAGGCGTACAGAAAACAGCTCACCCGAGCAGATAGGAAGAGTCTATTGAGGGTAGCCAGTGCATACAGAACAGTCTCTGCCGAGGCGTTAGGAGTTATCACTGGGTGTATTCCGATGCACGTGCTAATGAAGGAAATGGGAAAAATATACGAGAGAAGAAATGAAGACATATCAACAGAACGTTTAAAAAAAGAAGAAAGGGAAAGGTCCATAATGGTGTGGCAAAAGAAATGGGATGAGATGAGAAGGGTGGCGCAGTGGACGAAGTCGTTGATTCCTAATCTGAGAAGATGGATGGATTGCGGGCATCGGCGTTTGGATTATTTCCTGACGCAGATGCTCACAGGACATGGTTGCTTCAGGGCATCCCTTTACAGATTTGGAAAGGCAGAAAATGACAAATGCCTGTATTGTGAAATATCAATACAAGTAGGGTGCAATCAGTCACGGAACTGGTGGAGAAGATGCTTAGGTCGTCAGATCGGTGGAGAGCAGTTCAGAGATATGTGAAAAAAACATTGGAAAGAAAGGAACAAGAAGAAAGGCGAAAGGAATAGAGGAAGAGAAGAATTCCGTCGTAGTGAGAAAGTGCTAAAATGCGTCAGAATTGTGCGTGAATGAAAGATCGGATGAATGCCGTGCCGATGTTGCGTCCCAATCAGAGCGATCCGGTCGGTAATACACCGCCGATGAGGGTGTTTTTTTAGCAGGTAGGTCTCTGGGATTGACGACGATGGTGTCCGAACAACCCTAGCGCGCGGCTTCCGATATCATCGTGGCCACGCTGGAGGAGTCCTGCATAACCGAGGCTGGAAGGCGATTCTGCCCACCTTCTAGGACCGAGGTATGTTTCGAACATTTGGATCACCCCCCTCATAAAAAAAATCTAGAAGCCATTAAAGATCCGGATCCGAGCAATATACTAATAATAATCAGTACTTACCCATGTTTCCTTATTTCTTGGAGACTAAATCTAAGTTCTGGATCCTTTTGTAACATTCCAGTTAATAAACTTCTAAGAGGCTCATCGATATCGTCAGGTATCGTATAGTCACCTTTTCCTATAGTTTCAAATAGCCTAAAAATTGTATCACCTTCGAATGGATAAATTCCGGTAGTAATATTGTACCTATAAAGTTGAAAATTATATAGCAACAGTTGAAAAGACGATGGTTGTTAAGTTTTTACAAATTAACTATTTTGGCACCCACATTGGCGCCCAACGTGGGGCACCAATATGGCGTTTCTTTGTCGACTTCAAAGCAGCCTATGACAGTGTGAAAAGAACTGCATTATATAATGCAATGATAGACTTTGGGATCCCAGCTAAGTTAGTTAAATTGACCCAACTAACAATGCAAAACGTAAGCTCATGCGTTAGAATTGAAGGAGAAACTTCTACGTTCTTTGACATTAATAATAGTCTAAGACAGGGGGACGCGTTGCCGTGTCTTCTCTTTCATATTGCCTTGGAAAAGGCAATCAGACAAATAAATATTAGAATGAATGGAACTATTTTTAATAGATCGACGCAAATTCTCGCATTAGCTGACGATATAGTTATAGTGGGATGAAGTATGGAGACATGGTGCAGTGTTTTACAAGGCTTGCGGACGCGTCACGTGGATTAGAACTTGTGGTAAACGAGGAAAAAACCAGATATATGTTGGTTTCTAAAATCCCCCGAAATATCCAACAGAGAATTAAAATTAATAACCATACCTTTGAGCAAGTCAAATAATTCACATATCTTGGATCGCTAGTAAACGCAACAAACACGATAAGCGACGAAATAAAAAGACGCATAGCAATAGCAAACAGAACTCTTCACGGTCTCCAGAAACATTTAAAAAATAAAAATATAAAACGTGCAGTAAAGCTCAATACATTCAAGACCTTAATAAGACAGGTTTTGATATATGGGGCTGAAACGTGGACCTTATCTGAAAATTATAAAAGACTTTTTGGTATTTTTGAGAGAACAATTCTTACGAAATATTTTTGGGGCAGTGAATGAAAATGGGTTATGGCATCGAAGATACAATTTTGAACTATATCAGTCATACACCGACCCATATATTGTGAAATTCGTTAAAATGCGAAGACTTAGATGGGTTGGACCCATTGCTAGGGTGAAAGATCACGAATTCACGAAGAGATTAACATTTTCAAAACCAGGGGGCTCAAGAAGCAGAGGACGACCACGTAGGAGAAGGATTAATGATGTAGAAGAAGACCTACAGATTCTAAGGGTCAGAAGATAGAGGGAAGTTGCCAGGAATCGACAGGAGTGGCGACTTCTCTGTGAGTAGGTCAAGATCTACAACGGATTGTCGAGCCACTTATGATGATGACTAGAAACAAAATTCTACCATGTAAGATAATTCAGCACTATTTGTTTGGATTAGGGAGGCGTTTATTTGGTAAACAGTCCGAAAAATGTATTGAGCGAGTTTGGCTTGACAGTGCAATGAATGGATAAGATTACATACTGTGCCGCGGTTTTGATTCTTTATCCACGCTGTTTAAGATATCCATAATGTTTTCCGTTTAACGTTTTATATTTTATTTTTGAAACTGTTTTTTTTTAGTTAATAGAAATTTTAGATTTTTATTTTCAATCGATGCGGGTACGTGGTGTATAACTGGTAGTTTTACAAATGCAGTTGAAAAGGTTTGGATAATGAAGAGATATATAATACATAGAGATAGAAAGCCTTCAATTACCAGAATATTGAAAATACGCTAAACGAAGAAGTTTTAAACACCATACAAATTAAAAACTTGGTTCAAATAAAGAGAAATCCGTCTGAAACAGTTCCGCTGAACTGTTTAGAACAGTGGAATGAAAAATACGATTTGCCGCGTTTATTTCCAACCTTTTTAGATAACAATAGAGGAAACGCCTCAAGAAGAAGATGCTGGGATGATGAAATTTATAGAAACCAAACCAATCAAAATTTATAATACTCACGAAGAAACAGTATTTAAATACAAAGCGTATCCCCAAAAACGTGTCAATAACATAATCTAGGGAAGACCTATGTCCAGTAGAGAACGTATTCCTATATGAGGCCAAAATAAAATACATTTAGTAATTTTCTCAACCATATCTACGTCTAAATGTTTATTGTTACTTACAACGTGACACCACTGCTCCAAATATCGACTTTGAATCCAGGAAACGAGTCTAAGCCATTGGCTATCTCTGGTGGTTGAAACGCCGGTGACCCTTGACCTATGTAACACGTGTCGTCTTTAGCAAACAGGTCTATGGTCTAAAATAAGTAAACGTTAGTTGTGTTAAACAATTGTTATTATTTATAAACATATTAAATTTTCGCACTAGTATAGTTCATTTCACGGATTTTGTCCGATCACTGAAATCAAGTGAGCTTTTAAAAAAGTCTTTAGGATAAAAATTTAAAATTTTATTTATGCCTCAATAATGTATTCCACAAGTGTAAATATTTTAGAAAACATAAGTTGTTTGAATTTTTTTAAATTCCTTTTTTTTTCAAAAATAAACATATAAAAAAATGTTCTTGGAAAAAATTTAGATTTTTTTTATAAAAATGTTTTTTCTTTTTGTAGTATAAAAATTAAATGATACCCATGTTCAAGAAAGGAGATAAAGAAGACCCCAACAATTATAGAGGTATAAATCTACTGAACACCGCACTTACGCGTACGACAAAGGTCCTAACCAACAAAATCAATAAACTAACTTTATCAGATGAACAACAAGGATCCTGAAGATCTTATTCAGATCCTGAAGGTACGCGTAGACGTCGTATTTGTACTAAGACAAATCACAGAAAAGTCCATCGAGTACAATAAACCAGCATATCTATTTTTTATAGACAAAGGCTTTCGATCGCATCCAAGTCGAAGACGTCTTATACCTACGGTATAAAAGAAACATACCAATTAATATTAAAAAAACCATCGAAGACATCTACTTAAATAATCGAATACAGGCAAACATAAATGGAAAACTAACACACTGTATACCAGTACAAAGCGGAGTCAGACAGGGGGTGACTCGTTAAGTCCACTTCCACTTATGAAATACAATATGATAATATCAGCAGAAAAAACCAAATGTATGGCAACATCTAAATACCCACTACGATATAAAGAAGTATGACAACAAAACTTAAAAGCAAGTAAAGCGGATCTCTTAATGACACAATTTGGAAGAAAAAACACCTAAGACAAGACACAAAAACAAGAATCTATAAAGCAGCAGAGACCTATATGAACATACATACACGGTAGAGATAAGACCTGGGATAATATCAGGGAAAAGTCTGTTGGATAGGGAGAGAAGCGAAAACATTAGGGTGTAATTAGAGGAGTGTAACGAACACATTAGAATGGCAGAGGATATGATAGTACGAACAGCACGAGATACGTCACCAAATGGACGAAAAAGTATTGGCAGACCAAGAAATAATGGTGCGATAATTGAAACAATTTAGGAGGATAATATTGAAGAAGAAATAGGCTTTAAAGCCTATATAAAAGAAGGAAGAAGAAAGAAGAAGAATATTAAACGAAATATTCCATTCAAAAGATGTATTTGCGTAACAATAAAAACTTTGTTTTCAAACTTCCACAAAATTTATTTTAAATCTTATCACTACAGCTGTTTCGGCTGATTGCCTTTCTCAAGTGATCTATTTTTGGCTTGGGTTTACAAATTTATAGTCTATAATGAAATAGGTTGAAAAGGGAGAACTGTTTGTCTCAAGTTGGTCATTCAGAATTATATCTGTGTTTTTTAATTTGTTGATTTCCATAGATTCTAACAAAGATAGCTTAAGGCCTTTATTTTGAATGTGAAGAATTTTAAATTTGTCACGAAAACACGTGTCAGACGCAGGTGTTACTGAATCCGTCTGGCAGTCGGTAAAGATTATACCATGTTGACGAAACCCAAGCAGTTACCTGCCGGGACTAGACAATTCGAGAGGTGACGTCACGAGGGTTTGCGCTAGAGTTCTAGATAACGGGACAATATACAGTTACAGTCTCCTGAGCCCTTACCCTTCCTTCAAAGTTCATTAAATTTTATTTATAAAAAAAGATTTGTACTTTGGATAAACTTTGGGTAAACATTAATGAAGTTACAGAACAGATTGTGAGAAACTTAACGTGAATTAGCATTTGTTTATGACAATAACAATAGAAAATCTGCGCTCGTCCTAGAAATAAGAAATTATTTGTTGGAGGAGGCAATATTTAAGGAAAATTCGAAAATTGAGAAGAGAAGGAAAAAAATTATTTAGATTAAACATGGATAAATGGAGGGCATTTGGATGGATAAATGAAAAATTGGCAAGATAAACTGGTTACAATAATGCTTGTCAGGCATTTATAGAAGATTTGTCTACAGGCTTAAAACTTACAAATATTAAAGGTTGCCCTTTAATTATCACTCATACTGGAGGAGATAAAGGATTTGTTGATGGAGGCTTGCTAGATTTTATTTCAAATTCTACGAACGACTACCATGAAGCTGATGCTGATGTTTTTGAGAAATATTTCAGTCAAATGATATATTTATTATTGACCAATTCTGTAGTAGTCACGGACAATGACAGTTACCATTCAAGATTAAACGAACCGTTACATAACACTAAATGGAGAAAGTAAGAACTATTGAATTGGTTAATAACCAAGAAATAGTGTCAGCAGAAGGTTTACTCAAAAAAAAAGGTATTACAGCTATCCAAACAATATTCACCAAAATTTAAAAAGTATAGTGTAGATGAAATAGCAAAGGAACATGGAGTTAAAGTGTTGCGATTACCACCTTATCCCTGTGAACTTAATTCCATAGAACTAATCTGGGCTCAAATGAAGGGATATGTCGCGAGAAATAATACAACATTTAAACTTCAAAATGTTCGTCAACTATTATCTAACCTTGTATCAAAAAAATCTGACAATTAGCAAAAAGCTATTAGACGTGTCATAGCAGAGAAAAAAGTATTCTGAACACTCGATACTTCAATAGAGAAAACAATAGAACCAAGAATTATTTCTGTGGGAAATAAAGAAATTGATGACAATGGTGCCTCCTTATCTGAAGAAGACAACTTAGGTATAATTATACAGAGTGGCCCAAAAGTCTAGAAACGGCCAATTATCTCATAAATTGCTAGTTATAATTGTACAAAATTTGAGAGACACCTATTTTGGGATACGGAGATTTCATATTTGATATTTACAATGTTGCCAGATTTTCCGTTTCTCTTATATTATTAGTAACTTTGGTTTTTTACATGCATCACCCTGTATATTTAGTCATTATTGGAATCTCCTATTCAATACGAGTTCAACCATATGTAACACTTATGATTTTATTTAGTCTGAAAGGTCTTAAATACATAAAACACAAGTCTGGCAACGCCTAATTGTTTCAATAAATTTTTTTAATACTAATTATTTTCAAACTAAATTAAAACGTAACAATTGATAGATTAAAACATTTTTTAACAATAGTTACGTTTATTAAGTGTTTAAAATGTGCTCAATTTATGATTGACAGTACCCTAATCGATGGTAGAATGCGTCTATCACATTTCTCCCATGATGGTCTAGAAACAATTCGAGATTCATCGATAATTCGTTGCCTTAGCTCTGCAAGACTTGCTGGTTAAGTTTGGTAAACTGAATTTTTCAAGTATCCTAATAAAAAATAATCTTTATGATTGAAATCGGGTGAACGTGAGGGCCATTCAATTCTACCTTGTCTACCAATTTATCGTCCGGGAAATATCTCATCTAAATAACGCCGAACATTTACACCAACTATCTAACGTTAAATTTATTTCGATAAAAAATGGCCCAATTGACTGAATAGCTACTATACCTGACGATACATTTAATTTTTGTGGTTTTTGAGTATGGTTTTCACGCATTCAGTCTTCAGTGTGAATTTGCGTCACTCCAGTACTTAAATTGTGTCGATTTACACTTCCACACAGTGTAAAGATTGCTTCATCGGAAAACATATTCTGTTAACGAAATTTTAATAATTTTCAATTTTATCCATCATTACCTCAGTAAACTCTAATTCTACGATCGAAGTCATCTTCACTTAATTCTTGCAATAAGTTTTATTTTGTATGATTCAAACTTATTTTTACGTAATATACGTAAGACTGAAGAACGACCTACATCATGACTTGTGCAAACCCTGCTGAGGGTGGTGTGGATCTTCAACAAAACTTTTCTCTTTCCATCTATCTTTACCTTCTTCAGATTTCTCAAATCGCTTTACAGTTTTTTGTACCGTCGCCTTATGAATAGGAGAACGGTTTAGAGAACGGCATTTTAGAGAAGCAATTTAAATTGCAGAACTTTTCGAAACACAAATACTGTCAGTTTTAGTTTACAATGTAAATCATGAACAAATGTCAATATCACAGCATTCTACATTTAAATATTTAAATTTATTAAAATCTACAAATTTTGCACTGTTTTATGTATTTAAGACCTTCCAGACTACACACAATCATAAGTGTTACCTATTTTTGAACTCGTATTGAATAGTTGAACTCGTATGAAATTCACACTGAATGCGTGAAAACCATACCAGACCACAAAAATGAAAATGTATGATCAGGTATAGCAGGTACTTAGTCAATTGGTTCATTTTTTATCGAAGGAAATTTAACGTCAGATAGTATGGTGTAAATGTTCGGCGTTATTATAGATGAGATATTTTCCGTACGATAAATTGGTAGACAAGGTAGAATTGAATGGGCTCCACGTTCACCCGATTTCAATCCTAAAGATTATTTTTATTAGGGATACTTGAAAAATTCAGTTTACAAAATTTAACCAGCCAAGTCTTGCGGAGCAAAGGCAACGAATTATTGATTAATCTCAAATAATTTCTAGACAATTATGGAGAAATGTGGTAGACGCATTCTACCATCGATTAGGGTACTGTCAACTCACAAATTGAGCACATTTTGAACACTTAATAGCGTAACTATTGTTAAAAAATGGTCATCTATCAATTGTTAGTTTTAATGTAGTTGAAAATAATTAGTATTAAAAAATTTATTGAAACAATTAGGCGTTGGCAGACTTCTGTTTTATGTATTTAAGACCTTCCAGACTATAAAAAATCATAAGTTTACATATAGTTGAACTCGTATTGAATAGAAGATTCTAATAATGACTGAATATACAGATGATGCATTTGAAAAAACCAAAGTTACTAATAATATCAGAGAAACGGCAAATCTGGCAACAT